CCCCATGTTTGGCAGGTCAGAGTTGCAGCATCCCATGGTCATGTGATTGCCATTTGTGACCTTCCCTGCCAGCTTCCCACAAGCAAAGTCAATGGGGAAGCCAGGAGGGAAGATCACAACTTGCTCTGGTAAGTCCCACCCACTGGCCGTCTATGCAACCGCACTTTCCTTCCCTCAGCCTCCCTGCACTCACACTATGCTGTGCCCTCCTTCCTTTGGAGTCCCTGTGCTCGGACACACCCGCGCCTTCTTTCCCTTGGCCACTGCACCCCCTTCCCCAACTCACGCGCAGCCTGTGCTGGGCCTCCCAGGGCTTCCCCTAACCCCTGTGGCACCCCCACACTCCTTACCTGGGACTCTTGCCACTTCCCACTTAATGACCCATGCATCTTGGGGTTATGACAGCAACCAGGACTGCCTGGATTGCCATTGCTAAGAGATGTAGTCACGTGATGTCACACTTTACAACCGCATCGCTTAGCGACAGCAATCCTGGTCCCAATTACCGCTGTAACCCAAGGACTACCTGTACTACCACAATCCCTGTGGAGATATCTGTTCTGATTATAGTTTATGAACTTAAGTTATATAACAGTAAAGTTTCTTGTTTGCATCTCTGTAAATTAGACAAGAGGCAGCTTTAGCTGATAACTGTAATATTATCAATAGTTCAGTTAGGTTTTTATTTCCACTTCTAGGGCTCTTCCTTTACCTAAAGTATTTTTAGGTAAAGTATACCTAAATAAAATATTTTTGCCTGTTGACCATAGCAAAGTATCAACTTCAATGCTATGATCTCTTGAACCTTTTCCCTTGAGGAGGGCGAAACAGGGCCCTAGTCCATGATTATCAGGGCTGCCAGTTTTCTATAACTGTAAACTCCAGGAGTACAAGAAGGATGTTAATATATGCCAATATGATTTGGCAGCAAGTCATTTTACATGATGCTGCATGGAGCCTTGAATATAAAAACCATAATCCCTCCTAAACTGTGTTACTGCAAACCATAGGAAAAATCCACTCCTTTACTCATGTCTTTAAACCTAATTGTAACTCTACAAAAGGAACAGTTCTTTAAGGAATTAAGGGTCCTGTAAAAGAAGGGGGACGCTATTTGCTTCACTGATTATAGAAAGGCCTTTGATTGTGTCAATCACATCAAGCTGTGGAAAGTGCTCAGAAAAATGAGAATCCAGAACATCTCATTGTCTTCATGAGAAAAAAGTATATACAGGTCAGGAAGCCACAGTACAAACAGAACATGATGAAACAGACTGACTCCAGGTTGGCAAAGGAGTGACACAAGGCTGTATGTAAGGCTCCCCTTATTTACTCAACCTATACGTTAAATATATATTAAGGAAAGCTGGATTGGAAGAAGGTAAGCAGGGTTTTAAAACTGGAGGAAGAAACATCAATAACCTGCACTATGCTGATGACATTACCTGATAGCTAAAAACGGAAAGGATCTGCAAGCTCTTGTAATGCAAGTCAAGGAGAATAGTGAAAAAATGGGACTAAAATTAAATATAAAGAAAACCAAACTAATGACAACAGGTAGAA